ATCTCGACCAACTGGGCTCGCTCATATGCGCTCGGCCACAGTAGGATCGTCATATACCTTACCATCTGATCAGAGGTTACCCAATAGAGGTCTGCCCATCGATTATAGCTCGATGGTAATGAAAATACTTTTAATACTATATATTTAACTCTCCGCTCTCTTGACTGGAAGAATGAAATACTCAAATGAATATGAAGTCCCGATAAGGTGAATATTATAACTTACAATACTAGGAAAATATACGCAATTTGCAAGACTAGCAAAATATGCGTAAATTCTGGGATATGAATATAATGACGAGATCATGCCAAATGAAAGAAGAGCTTAGCCTTAACATACCTGGAGTAGGAAAAAAGTCGTATAATATTCTTGGCGAGGATTGCACCGTACTCTTTTGGAACCGCAAAATTTGGACGGAATTAAGCTTCTGCTCTTGGCATTACAATGTATGAACCAAGCAAGAAAATGTTCTTGCTATTGTTTGTTTTCACATTTTTGTCTCAATACATAATACAATGTAAATTGTTGTTGCTTTTGAAATTTCAATCAAAATTTCCTAAGGAGTTGAATTTTATTTGCACAAAATGGCTTGAAATGAAGCTTTAGTTGTTTGAGATTGTGTTTCTGCTTTCCAACGTCCTTGGCATTAATACCAAGGGCAGATTATTGTTTTTGAAGCCTTTTCAAGGCATTTCCACTAAATGCTATGGATAAGACTTATGTTATGACAAGCCATCTAGCAAAATGAATTCTTAGTCATTTCAAATCTTGTGGCTTCTTGCCACGTGGGGTGGGGGTGGGATAATTTATTAATTTTTTTATCCACTTATTAGTTAATCGGGTAATGTTATGTTATCCGGTAATTAATCAATTACTCACATAATTTAAAAATTACCACAAATTACTTAAAATTCTATTTATTTTCAAAATACTTCATATATACGTTATATATTATACTACCGTGGTCATATGGTACCTTGCATGGTACTAGTTTATAATTATCGGGTATTATCGCGTGACCCGTATTTTCCAAATTGGCCACTTTCAACGAAACTCTTTTTCTTTAATCTGTGTACCCATTTATCCTTCATAACACTTATTTATCGCTTGCTATAAATAGCGTAAGTATGTTAACGTCAAGATGATCTCATCCCCGATTCTACGTCAGTTGACCGAAGATGAAACTTTTAACGTACAAAAATGCGAAATGTAACACAAATATTAATGTGGTTCGATCAGTTGACCTATATCTATAGGCAGAGATGAGAAATCCACTATATAAAAAAGAGTACAAAATATTGAGAAAACAACCTCACAAAAAGGCACATACAAGGGACATAATAACACTTGTCTCAAAAAAATTTCCCCAAAAGAAGACCCCCAAACACATTATGACTACATTGCATAGGTTACTAAATGAAAAAGAAGGATTTTCAATTTATAGAAGTCCAAAACTTTTTCCTTCAAGAAAAAAACACTAGCCAAATATAAGAAATTTATAATTTTCTTTAAGTACAGAAAAAATTATTTATGGTAAATATGTTGTCCTTCCTTTAAGAAAAATAAAAATCAAATGTAGTAAAAAAAAAATAGGGCAAACACCTAATAATTCTCTCCCTTTGCTTGAAATTTCGAACAAAATAAACTTGATTCACATTTTTCACATAACATTCAAAAGGTTGCATCTCCAAATCTGTACCACAAAGTCTTTGTCTCCAAATTGTCAAATTTCTCACACTAAAATCTTCATTATCATCAAATAGGTTGTGGCTAAACTGAACTCGCCTTAAACATGTCTTCAACATCGCTCAGATACCACTTGTTATGATCGAAATAATCAAGTATCATGCGAAAGCTAACAGAAGATACCTTCAACGAGAATAAATTATATAGAAAAAAGAGAAATATTTCGAGAGATACACAAATATTTAATATAATTCGATCAATTGACCTAAATCCACTATACAAAAAAGAGTACAAACAAACGAAGAGGTACAGACAAGACTCTCAATAAATAAAACTCTCAAATATCGAGAGCACTTGTAACTTTCCCCCTAAATTAGACTCTCTCCATTATATTGCGAATGCTACTAAAAGAGAATAAAGGATTCTCAATTTATGAAAATTCACAATATTTTCCTCCAAGAAAAAGACTAGCCAAATATGAGAGATTTATAAAAAAAAAATTAAAAATAAAAAATCAATTATGATAAATATTTTTTTCCTTCTAAGAGAAAGAGAAACCAAATATGATAAAAAGATCAGGGAAAATTAAATACCTAATAAAGTAGACATTGCAATACTTATAGAATCGTCTGTCAAGGGTACACGTAGAATTTTGTTAATACAATTAGAAGAAGAAAAATAATATTAGAGTTCCCAAACCTAAATAAAAGGGTAAGGAGATATTTACTCTACTTTTTAACATATAAACCAACTAACATACCATAACTCACATATGGGTTGTTTCTCTTCCGACATTCATCAGCAATTGGGGGGGCTTTGAGAATTTTGTTAAATTATAAGCACATCATCTTTTTTCTTTTCACAAAATAAATTCTTCTGTTTTTTTTTGGTTCTCTCTTTTGCTTACACCTTTTCTTACCTAGATTAACGACACATTAACTAAGATTTAACAACATCTTCGACCTTATGAATAACTTCCTCAATTATCCAACTCCACTTTCGATTTCAGTGGTTATTTTAATTTTCAGAGAAATAGGAAAATAAAAATTGATGCCTACTTAAGCCTCTGTGTGTTGGAGCCAGGGGCGGATTTAGGGGCGCAAGGGTGTTCACCCTTCGCCGAAAAATTACACTGTATATATAAGGCAAAATCTGTTTTTTATTTCTATATTTTAAATTGTGAACACCCTTAACACAATCCAAAAGTGTAGTTTAATGGTCAAGGGGATTCAAAATTTACCTAAGGTCATGGGTTCAATTCTCACTAGCTAAAAAAATATTTTTTTGAACCCCCTCCGTGGAGATCCTGCCTCGTTGGAGCATAGCCATTTTAGAAGATTTTCCCACGAGTGTTACTATTTCTTGTAACAAACAATACGAAGCTACATTCACTAATTTTTCTCGCTTGAGTATTCAGAATGATATTTAATTCTTCACTATGTAGCTAATAGCAGCCCAACTACCCGAAATGAACACAGTTTGTTTAAACTAAGTCAATATTCATCGTCTACGCGTTTTGAATTTTTAGATTTTATTTAATGACATATCTTCCCTCATTCTATAGATTTACACTATGTCAGGAACAAGGGCCACCTAATTAATTTTCTTTCTTGTTATTTTTTCCTTTTTTATCGTAAACTTTTATTTCATTGACTTGGTTTGTCATCTTGTCTCGAGGATAATTGTTCCATCAGTTGATATTCTAGAAGACTCCTAATGAAAATAAAAACATAAATATGTCATTTGATCAGTCCTATGTTAGATGTTCGAACGTTGACTCGAGATGAAGTGTGGTAGTCAAACAAGCTATTTACTAATTCAGTGTCCGTTGAATCGTGAATAGATTATAAAGATAAAATTGGGACATGATTAACATGACCTTGTTTTATAAAAGATATAGACATTATCCAATCAATCAGAAGAACAAATCAAAACAAATTATCTTCATTCCAATTTAGTTCTTTTAAGCATTTCTTATTACTTTTATTTACAAGCTTCCTTACAACTTTCCTAAGTCGTATCCTAAGCTAACTTATAGCCCTGTTTGGCCAAGCTTTTCCAAGCAAAAAAAAAAGTATTTTTTTTTTTTTTGAAATGTTTGGCCAAGCTTTTAGAGAAAATAAAAGTATTTTTGAGTAGAAGCAAAAACAGTTTTGGAGAAGCAGGAAAAAATAGCTTGTCTCTAAAAATACTCTTTTAAAAGCAGTTTTTAAAAGCTTGGCAAAACACTAATTGTTGCTAAAAGTGTTTTTCAAATAAGTTTGCCAAACACAAATTCACCAAAAATACTTTTGAAAAAAACACTTGAGAAAGAAAAAACACTACTCAAAATAAGCTGATTTTTGCAGCTTGGCCAAACAAACTATTAGTTTATCATCGGATTCAAGCTACTCCTAGTTAAAAAGCAAAGCTTATGCATTCTTACACTAGCTGGTGCATCTCTTCCTATCTTGTTTAAACTTCTGTTTTGTTTTTTTTCATCATTTGGTTATAAAATAAGTTGTGAAAAGTGAAGCTTATCCATTGCCTATCTTCTCTGAGTTGTATAAACTTCCGTTGCCTCCTTTAGCTTTAGCAGCTCAAAGCAAGAAAAAGAACAAATATGGGCATTTAGGTTGTAGCTGATAATAAATATTGCTGTCTTTTCAACCTTTATCATGCCTAACTTCCTAATATTAATATAGTTTAAATTAGATGTGGGGTTAGAATGCCGGCCCCTCTTTTTTGTTTTTCTGTTCGAAATATAAATGCATGCCGGAGCAGTTGATGGATAAAATGAATAAATAAATAAACTAGTTGATGAATACATAACATAAGCCCTTTGACTTTGAATTTTAGCAAATCGTAATTTCACAGCAAAAGAACAGACTGCAGTTGAAAATCCAAAAGGATATATCAGCAATAGTCATATGGTTGAGAAAAGAGACGTATGTAATGCAAGTTGCGACGACCACCCTACCGTTGACCTGCCATCTGACTTCACTTAATGAATATGGTTGGAAGAGTTACCCAAAATAGATACAATAATATGAGCCGTTGTATAGTACTGTAGTATTTATTATGTTCTGAGATGGATGATCTTAATACTCTAATCACGATGTGCAGTTTTAAATATTGTTGGAAAAAAACATTGGGTAGTCTAACATAAAGGATGCTCATTCGCCCCTAAACACAACTAATTATCTATAAATACACCATTATAAGTGGGACACAAACAGCGGCTACAGTTTGTGATAGAACATAAATCATGAGATTCAAGTAACTTAAAGGAAACCCGGACAACTTACAAAAACACACATGAAGATGATGGAACAAGAATAAAGGATAGGAAGAATGAGATAAATTAACAATGAGACAAAATCAAAAATTATGTTAGGGTTTGGTTACATGTTCTCCTACTTAAGGAATTTCCAACATAAGGTAAGGGATTGCTGCATGCCTGCTCTGATGTGTAACTTTGAGGTGCTCTTCAAGGTATAACTCCCAGAGACAGGTGCTTGATATGAGGTTTATGTGTATGCAAAAATTTCAGCTTGAGGGCCTGAAAGTGGAGTTGGAGGTAATTGCTCTTGATTTATCTTCTCGTGTTCTTTTGCATTTCCGTACACCCTTGAACTGAATATACTAATTAGTATTGCATCATGTAAAGAATATACATGCTTTGGAACAAAACATCAGCAGTTACATTGTCCAAGCTACAATGGACTGGCCAGAAAATGGTATAACATCTTGGAAAACTATATTGCACAGTACCAAATGCAATCTCAAATTGCTACAACAGGAAAAATGCAGAAAATTACTGCCATTTCGTGCTGAATAGATCAGTCCAAGAGGCACGAGACCATTGCGTTGCTGGATTCAGGTCCATGATTATTTACACTAGGGATGATGTTAACAGGAGATACAAACTTAACGAACTCTTTGAGTTCTGAAAAGCTGCTGTGTTCGCTGTACGGTACTTCATACCTGAGAGCAAAACAAATGATGTTTTCATCAATCAGTTGTGTTTAACCCATGCTAATCGGAACAAACACATGTTGGTTCAGTAGTTAAATGTCATCCATTGATCTAGTACATTGACTCAATTATAATTACATATGTAGCTACTTTGACTCATAAACAAAGTTAAGTAGACAATAACCTGATGATAGTACCCTGCTGCCACCTGCTTCCAGTTGACTTCTTCTTTCCTTTACCAAATGACCAACCAGTGGGAGAGAAAGCAACAATAAGACTATACCGTCCCTGGAGAAGTAACAAACTGTTACATCACCACTCAAATTTGGATCAATACATAAATCAAACACTTAACAAGTTAAAATCATTGAGCCATAGTTTCTGTATATGGTGATGCAGAAACTTATTGGTTGGAGAGTTCCCCGTAAAATGTAATGGATAAGGCACATTGTAAGTACCAAAGGCTTTAGTAGTCAACACTTTATTTCCTGAGGTCAATGACAAAGCTAGTGTAGATTTAAGAAGCAGCCAGGAAAATTTCAGTTTTGGTAGAAAAATGACACAAGTACACAAAAAGTTTACCAAGAAGTAGTCCATCTTACTGTTGATTAGCGTTCTAAGTAAAAGAAAGACGAAAGTCATCCAAGAGAAATGCTAAAGCAATAACTTATACTTCCTCCGATTTATTTTATGTCAGTGTCTGCTATTTTAATCAACTTACATAATTTGTTAATGATGAGGAAAGAGAATATTAACATAGTGGTTGAAAAGAGAGCAAACAGCACATCAAAGTTTTAGTGTGTATAATTTAATAGAATGGTGTCAAACATTTTGAAACGGCCCAAAATGGAAAATCATATTAATTAAAACAAAGTAAGCAACTATAAAGAGAAAAATATAATATTCTAGGGTGCATGGGATGCTTCTTAGGGTAGGCTACCTACGCGGCCCTCCCCGGACCCTGCGTGAATGCAGGATGCTTCGTGCACCGAGCTACCCTTTATTAAGTGCATGGGATTACGGCGTATAGGAATGAGGAGACGAAGTTAAACATAAATACTGAAAAAACTTAAAGAATGGCTAAAGGGTTTGAATGAGCGCAATCAAGACTAACAGAGGTGTACCAGTGAAAGAATTTAGCTCTAGAATTTTGTGCAAACATTTGGCTAGATAACTCTCCTGGGTCTTGCAGAGAGAACCCAACAACACCGAGAAAGCACCAAAATGATGTCAACGAACCTGACATATTTGTAGTCTAGAACAGAGAGCAAGTTGAAGTGAAGAAGACAACTTATGAGCAGAGACGAAGCCAGGATTTAAAGTTTAAGTATTTTGAACTTGTCATCGAACTCATAGCTCGTCTTAATTATTGGGTTCGCAATTGCATATTTATACATATTTAATGAATTTCCTAATAAAAATACATGGTCTAAGTAAAAATTACCGGGTTCGTCCGAATTTGGATTAACCAAGTAAAAATTACATGGTCTGGATTTTTTAATTTTTTTAATGTAAGTGAATCAAGCAAAGTTGCGATTTGATCATGGCTCCCCATTATCTCAAGACCTTAGTGGAACGGCATTAACCAAAACATGGCAAAATCTCATATGAATTTGGATTATTTTAAGCATCCAAATCATCAAGTCACCTTCTTAGTTTAGGCTATATAACCTCCTAGTTACTCCATTCTCAAATACACAGAAAAATAAATCTATCCAGTCAGCCTTAGAATCCAAATATTCTCAATGGGGAGCCAAATAAAGAAGCAATGGCCTCAATTTGCTTCTGCTTTGGCACTTTTCTTGATTGCAACTTGCACTATGGCATATTCATCCGATTCTTATAAATCACCAGTTTCAACATACAACAAAGTACTAAGCACAGTAACCAAAAGTGACAACTATCATATCCAGCCACTATCACAAGACAATTATGAAGTGCCACAAGTGTCCAAGAACCACTACAACGTACGCTCAATGCCTAAGCAGGAATACAAAGTACCATCTTTGCCAAATAATGGCTACTACAACAAACCATCAGTTCCAAAAGATAACTACAAGAAGGTGCCATATCTTACAAATGATAACTACTACAAGACACCCTCAAAACCTAAACAAGAATACAATGTGCCATCTTTTCCAAAGAATGAGTACTACAAGAAACCATCCGTTCCAAAAAATAACTACAAGGTGCCATCTCTTCCAAAAAATTACTACAAGGTACCCTCAATGCCTAAACAGGAATACAAGGCACCATCTTTACCAAAGAATGACTATTACAAGAAAACATCAGCAACAAAAGATAACTACAAGAAGGTGCCATCTCTTCCAAATGATAACTACTACAAGACACCCTCAATGCCTAAACAAGAATACAATGTGCCATCTTTTCCAAAGAATGACTACTACAAGAAATCATCCGTTCCAAAAAATAACTACAAGAAGTTGCCATCTCTTCCAAAAGATTACTACAAGGTACCCTCAATGCCTAAACATGAATACAAGGGACCATCTTTGCCAAAGAATGATTATTACAAGCAACCATCAACTCCAAAATATAACTACAAGAAGGTTTCGTCTCTTCCAAAAGATAACTACTACAAGGTACCCTCAATGCCTAAACAGGAATACAAGGCGCCATTTTTGCCAAAGAATGACTACTACAAGAAACCATCAATTCCAAAGGATAACTACAAGAAGGTGCCATCTATTCCAAAAGATAACTACTATAAGGTTCCCTTAATGCCTAGACAGGAATACAAGGTGCCATCTTTGCCAAAGAATGACTATTACACGAAATCATCATCTCCTCCTCCACCATCTTACTACTATAATTCGCCCCCTCCTCCTTCACCATCACCTTCTTACTATTATCAATCATCCTCAATTCCTTCCTCATCACCACCTCCTCCATACTATTAAGTCTTCATCTTTCATGTTCAACATGTTTCCAGAAGGTCCTTCTTCAGCACAAAACATAATTCTGAGGGATTTCATTCTGTGAGTTAAAGGCACCATATCAAAATTTGTAATTATTCATTTATTGTTTTTCTTTCCTTTTTTTTTTTTTGTGGGGGGGGTAGCAGGTGTTATACCATTTAAATTGTATGTTTGATTGTTTGCAGAGAATTATTCAATTGAATACAAATTCTTTTTATTGAGATTTTATGTACTACTATTTTTTATCCCTCCAACAATTGTAGCTCGACTGGCACTATTGGGATTGCAAAAGTTAAGTATTATCCAAATAAATTTAGCCAATCTATTGAACTGATCAAAGATGGAAACACACAGCCTGCAGGCATAATAATCATACAAAGTCATTTATATACAACAACAACATACCCAGTATTATCCCACACCGTGGGGTCTAGGGAGGGTAGTGTGTACGCAGACCTTACCCCTACCTTGTGAGGATAGAAAGTCAATTATATATTTTTATTAATATCATATACTCACTCCTCCTAAATATAAGCACTATTACTATTTGAAAAGATCAAAACCAACTTTTTTCCCATCTCCAATATACTTAAAGCATCAGATTGGGGCTGCATCAGAATTTGGAATCATCACAAAACACTTGGACATCAAAAAACTTACCGCATACTGATTAGAGACATACTTCAACCTTTTGAAGCTAGCCAGTGTCCACATAGGCACAACATGAATTTGGCTTTCCTGCTCATTTAATGTGAAAAACTGCATATCTTCTTGAGGAAAACCCAAACACTCCAAAATGCGTAACTTCGATGCAGTGATATAGACTTTCTTCTGAAGAGCACGAGCAACCTCAACAAACAACCTCTCTTTTCCTGAACCAATTAGTGCAGAAACCATGAGAAAAGCCTTCAGATGAAAGCACTTGACATGCGATACTAGGTAGGTTTTGAGCTTTTGGTCATAATATTACCAAGCAATGCAAAAACTCAGATATGAAGTCTACCTATAGTATAGCTACCAATGAGAAACAAGGTCTTTGAGTTGAAAGTTTCAGCTTGTATTGATTCTATAACAAATTGAATAACAGCCTCCTGTTTTGGAAAGTCATACTGCAAGGTAAGAAAACTCTTAGAGCATTTGAAGTATTTAAGGAAACATGCTGTTAAAACACTGAAATGTATCTAACTGTATAAACAAGAGTTTGGCAGTATCTGCTTCTCAAGCCATAAAGAAAGAGTACCCAATATTCAAGGGGATTTTTGTTAATATGACTGCTTTCTGTAATTGGTCCAGAGAAAATAGAGCTTGTACCATGTACACTTAAATAGTTGTACCTTAACTGATAGCCAGAACACACCCAAAAAAGCAGCATGTGTTAGACCTATTAACTATTAAAATACCATGAATCAATATATTTGGCATTCAAATACTTGATATTCTACAAGTTAATAGTAACTTCCTATAACTAACATATATCCATTTAACTTCCTATAACTAATATATGTCCATTTTAACTATGTCATAGTTAGCATGATAATACTAATAATTGCTACTCCCTTTTGTCCCATTTTAAGCAACCAAGATCGACTAGGCTTAAGTTCAAATTTGGTTTGACCTGTGTATTATATTCATATGAACATAAGAAAAAGTTAAAATATCACATTCCTGCTAGAATTGAATTTATAAAGAATATTACAACAACAACCAACCAGTGGAATCCCACAAGTGAGGTCTGGGGAGGGTAATATGTACGCAGACCTTACCCCTACCCTGGGGAGGTAGAGAGGTTGTTTCCAAAAGACTCTCGGCTCGAGAAGAAGAATTTATAATGAATACAAATTTTAGAAATATGTGAAAGTTTAATGCGATATTACTATTTGTAGGGGAGGAACATTCTGTACCATTACAAAATAGGAAGTGTCACCACATAAGCAAGCACATAATTATTGGTAGGTTATTTGACTTCATAACAAATTAACAATGAATGAACTATCAATCTAAAATACCTGAGGGTCACAGTATGTTGTATCTAGGATCAGAGTGTGGACACCACAAGTCTGCAAGATTGAATTCCTTGTCATTTCTTCACAAAATCGGAAATCCCCCGTGTGTAGGACAGCCTATTGCATGAAACAAACAAGATATCCTCACAAGAACAATCAATCTAGAACTCAGGAAAAGCATAGGGCAAACCAATTTGTACCACACCTTACCATTGGGTGGCTCAAAAAGGATTATTAGGGAACCCGGGCAATGGTTTGCATCAAAGCATATGACATCAACCCCTGCAATGTTGATCTTCTGGTTGATGGGTAAAACTTGTATCTTGTCCCATGGGATTCCAATCTTCAGATTAACAAGCTTTGCCGTAATTGAGGAACAATAAATTTTTCCATGACAGAAGGACTTAGTAAGGCCTTGATAATCTACAGAGGTATAGGACAACAAAATTCAAAGCTAGACTGATAACCAATTGCTGATAACAGAAGCGTCAAACTAGACTATCATATACACATATAAGGATGCATTCTAACAGTTCTCAATTAATGCCATTCCAGCAATCAATCAAGACAGGACTTAATGCAGATTAATATCTACATGATGATATCCTCATTACAAATGTAACATCCTGAAATAACTCTTATAACTAAGATACAAAAAGTTATCAATTGACTTTCATGATAGAAGAGGAAATTCTACAAGAAGAATTAAAAAGGTAATCCAATTTTGTAAAGAAATATAGATTTATATGCGGTAACCATTGGGAAAACCGGCAAATAATTTAGTACAGCATGCCCTTAACATGAACATGGAGAATAAGCATACACGAAAATGAAGATAACGCAACCTTGACAACTTCATTTTATTGACAAGCACATGAAAATTGTTAGCGGAAACGTAAAAGAAAGAACACAAGATTTAACGTGGTTCGGATCAAAATAATCCTACGTCCACCAGAGAACAGTTGTCTTTTTAATATTAACAAAGGAAAGGGAGAGTTCCCAATTACACTTAAGAGAATTTCTCTCTTAATTCTCTACTCACTACAATGTGTTGTATTATTT